AAGTCATTTAAGTCATTTAAGTCATAAAGTCAGTTGTTTCCCCCTTGAGGTAATGCTATTTCTTGTATATAACCATCAGATTGAACGATGGGCAAGGGGGATGGATGGCGTCAAGGGGAAAACAGCAGACTCCAACTCTTTGGAGTCCCTTGGAGTCCCATGGAGTCTCATTGAGTCCCTTGGAGTCCCTTGGGGTGCCATGGAGTCCCAAAATATTTTCGACTTCTTTGCAGAAGCTTTATAAAAATCAAAAAAAAGTTACTTCTTAACTTTTTGTTAGTCAACACATCACTTAGAATAGAAATAAGTGAGGAAGTTGGTTTTAGTTATCTGTTTTTCTTGCTTTGGCAGATTTCGTTTTCACGAAAACGTACGCTGTCGTTCTTCTATTCAGTTGCAACACACAAGCTGTTTTTACAACTTTTGATAAAGCAACTTATCATTTATCGAAAAAGAAAAACAAACAAAAATATCATATAAATAAAAAATTTATTCTTTCTTCCTATTCTGCATCGCTCGCAGTAATCTGTCACTTGAAAGTTTTCTTTTCTCATCTGTTAGTAACCAACAAGCAGATTGTTTGTGTAAATATTTTGTTTGATTGTTGATTGAAACTTTAAAATAACTATTTTGGATGACAGGGTTTATTGTATCACAGACTTTTATTCCAGAAAAGTCTTTCTTCGTCGTAGTGATGAATTCGGTGGTAAAATCTTGTTCCTCATTATCAGAATGATCATTATCCGAACAAGAATCGTCACAATTATAATCATCATTGTAGGTATCGTTTGTTACTTCGTCATCATCATCTGCAGCTAATTCAAACTCTTCATTATCAACAATATCTACTTGAGATGAATAGTTGTATATCTTAGAATTTACATTTAAGTGTCCGAATACATATTCACTTAATGGCTTTAAACCCAGAACATGTTGTTGTTGTAATCAGTCTAATACTTCTAAGTCATCAAATATATCAACAGCTTCATCATATGCATTGGCAATGACTTGTTCAACATCTAATTGATCGATTTCATTTTGACATTGTGTGGATAATGAGTGCCGATCATTTTGATGCTTATAATGAACAGGAAAGATTAATTTGTCAACTGATGGATCATGTAACTGCTTATATTTAATATCATTGAGCAACGATAATTTTTGAGCTCTTTGTAAAAAATCATGTACAGTAAAGTTAACGATAGTTGAGTAAATTCCGCTTAATGCACGTGTATTTCTAAATATAGATTCACAAGCTTGTGAGTTAAAAACATCAATATTTAATGCATGTGGTGGTAATTATTTCTGTTTTACAAGTACAATTAAAAATAATAGGTTATGTGCATTAAGTTCTACGGACATATACGCAGGATTTGTGATGAAATATTTGCTCTTATTATTTTGAGTCATCTGCGTTGTGTTGAATTTTTTAAATTTAAGCCATGTGAACCATAATCGACATAGAAAGACTACACGCCAAGCAGATTGTAGTCCTAAAATCACAATTTTACTGGATAAGAATATCTTTTTAATTGGAAACGTATATATGATCTACTAATAAATATAATTAATCAGAATACTTGCGTTCAGTAATTGTTGTTTTTTTTTCAATATAAGTTACAATGATCATTTTTAACATTCGAAGATAAGCAAAGGTGCCTTGAATGTTTACATTCTCACTTAAAATTTGAAGAAGACCATCAGATGTCAACTTCAGGCACGAGCTAAAATTTTGGCGATCTTTAGGGTTAATGTCGGATTTTGTTAAACAATGATCGAATTTAGTATATGCTAGATTATTAATAATATCATATAAGTGGTTGACTGATATACTTCTATTACCAATACGTAATTTAGCTGTCGAGGATAATAAACGATTTCGCCATTTAGTGACTAAATGCGTGGCATCTTGAAGAAACAACAAAAGTTGTTCTTTACGTAAATAAAACCAAGACCATTGTAATTTTATTTGTATTTTAAAAGCTTGTGAATGTTCATGAATTTGAAAATTAGGAACAGAACCAAAGAATCCACTAACCAAACGCATAGAGCGTAAATATTTTGGATCAGCATCTACAAAGAAAAAGATTCTTGACCATTAATATTTGAAATAATAATATGAAGTTCTCCTCTTACGATTGGAAAAACCAATTAGTCTTATTTTTCTTTGTAAAAACTGATTAAATATGTACCATCACCTTTGAAGTATGTCATCAGCTGTACTTAAATTATCAACTCCATATGCTACTAATAAAAACGGACTTGGAATCATGCTCTGGCTTCTGGATGGCAACGGCTGCACCATATGTACATTCAAGAATGACGATTTTTCAATTGAATTAAACCATGACTTCAAAATATCAAACAAATCAGTTTAATAATGTTCTTTAATTGGTTTTCAACAAACAAGTGGTGTAGGAAATCCGATGAAAGCATTTTCCGTTGAATCATATTTTACTTTTCTAATAACACTTGTCATATCTGCCGAACGAAATGCATATTGAACATTAAGATTTTCAAATTTATTTTGAAGTTCATCAAATCGAAATTCTGCTTCGAAAATCTTTAAATTTGAACTTGAGATTAACGTATTTAACATAGTTATATTTGGCAAACATTCGGGCAAATTTAATCTTACTAACTCATCAGCTAACTTTCCCCCAAAATATATAAGGAGGGCGTGAGTGTGGGTGTGGGTGGGGTGTGGGGTGTGGGTGTGGGTGGGG